AGATCTTTTAAGTGATATCTATATTGATATATAAAAAATAAGTCCATAGGTACATAATTTAGTGTAATATTTTTGCACATTAAACTTTGTTTTTATGAACATATATAAGGAACATTAAGAATTTACTGCAGAATTTATGAAAATAGATATGTTGTATATGAAGTTTAGTGTTTATATACATTAAGATTTAAGTTTATGATCATATAGAACTAATATTATAAAGATCGTATATGATGGATGTTATTAAACATGATGCACATGTAATATAATTTTATTTACATTAAGTTTTGATTTTATGAGCATATCGAATTAATATTATGAACTTAATTACTACATAGTTAAAGAAAATAGATGTGATGTACCTGCAGTTTAGTATTTATGTACATTAATGTTTAAATTTATGATTATATAGAACAAATATTATGAACATAGTAGATAATGAATATATGTAATTAAACATAATGCATCTATACTATAATGTTTATGTATATTAAACTTTATTTTTATGGACATCCTTTATATAATAAAGCTATATGGTTTGGGAAATAATTAATGTTACAATTAATGTCACAACATCCTTTATTATAAAAAAAAAGCACAACATTTAAAAAATAAAATAGCTATATATTTTATAATCATATAAAAAATATACTTTTGAAAAATAAAATAGCTATATATTATATAATCATATATGTGTTCAATTAGAGTTTAAATAATTTACACATACAAAATTTGAAATTTGCTTTCCAAATGTAATTATCTTAGTTATTATTTGTATTGTGAAAATTATAATATAGATGAAATACAATTAAGAATAAATCAATGTAATTATGTAAATTATCTCTATAAGTTTATTTGAATATGCACATAATTAGAGATTATATTAACCATACAAAATTATAATTTTAATTTTAATTGTAATTTTGTATTCTATAAAAATAATAAATACTTGACCAATGGAAGCTCAAAAATATTATTATATTAAATAATTTAAAATTTTTAGTTTTTCTATTTTTTATTTATATTTATAATAACATAATTTTTTTCCGTGCATCGCGCGGGTGAATTACTAGTATATATAAAAGGAACATTACAAATCTATTATAGAGTAAATGAAAATAAATATAATGTACATTTAGTTTAGTGTTTATGTACATTAAGGTGTACGTTTATGAATATATATAAAATAATATATATTATGAATATAGTATATGATAATATTTTTAAACATAACACATTAGTTATTGAGACTTAATATAAAACGATGTTGTCACGTTGATATATTTTTTCAATTATTCCCTTTCTCATCAAAGGATTTTAGTTTTTTTTTTTAAGGGTTAATTCCATTTTTTATCCTAGATTTATAGGTTGCAGTCCACTTTTAATTTAGTCATTTTTTATCAGAACATCTTTTTTTGGTCCTAATATTATTATGACATGACCAATTTTGGTCCTCTATTAAAAAAATCGTTGAAATTTCATTAAATATAAGGAAATTTCGTTCTTCAATTATGATTTTTTTTTCAAAAAATAAACATAAAAGATATAACGGGTCGACGCACTTTTTATTTAAAAGATCAAAATGTCTTTCAATTTAATGAAATTTCATCGATTTTGTTGATAGAGGACCAAAATTGATCATGTCATAATAATGCTAGGACCAAAAGGAGATATTCTAATAAAAAATGAATAAAAGTGAACTGCCACCTATAAATTTAGGACAAAAAATAGAATTAACTCTTTTTTTTTTTAAACGTAAAAGTTATTTATCTTTGAAGAAGTCTCATGTGCCCGTTAATAGAGAAGTAGTCTCCAAGTCTCACATAGGAGATAAGAGCACCCTATTGTTGCGCAATTTGTCTCCAATCACTAGAAAACAATTTGTCACGCTAGAGACGATGATGCTTCTTTTGCTATTATTATTATTATTATTATTATTATTATTATTATTATTATTATTATTATTATTTTTTTTTTTGACGAAGAAATTCTAATTATTATTTAAGGATGAATACGAAATAAATTTTACTCTTTTATTATAACCTGTAGACCATACAGAAAAAGTGAATTATCTACTATCTAATATTCTACTATACTAATAAGAGCCCAAGAGAGTTAGGCCTATAATGGGTAGAAAAAATGGCGGTCACAGATTTTAATCAAATGAATGGCTCAGATTGATTAAAAGATTGATTAGATTTAAATTTTACACTAAAATTTCCTAAAATACCCACACACCGTTACTAATTCCGTTAAAATTTTAAGAATTGCTGTTAGTTCACCGTTAACTTACTCATTGATTTCAATAAAAAAAAAAGTCTTAGGTTCGAACCTCATCCCAATCAAAGTTGGCATAATTAGTACTCTATTTTACTCTTATTAAATTATATAAATAATAATTTAGTAGTTACAACAAAAAATAATACATATGCATTTCTTTAATTTAGAATTATGTGTCCACAATGCCTTTATTCAAAAAAAAATATTCATTATCAATAAATTAAATAAGAGAAATAATTTTATTAGTTATATTGTCTTTATTTTTCTTCAATATAAAAATTCTTTATATTCAAATTTATTAATTGATTATATTCGCTACATTGTCCTTACAATGTCTTTATTCAGTGAAAAAAAAATTATTAATTATCAATAAATTAATTAAAATAAATATTTTCATTAGTTATATTGTCTTTATTTTTCTCAAATGTAAAAATTTTTACATTCAAATTCATCAATTGATTATATTCACTACATTATCTATTATCTTTTTTTGTGCACTATTTTTCTAATTAAATATCAAAGTTATAATACAAAATAATGCTATATATTTATTTACCAAGTATTTTATTAATACCATGAAAAAATTTTTAAAAATATAATTAATAAAGCCAACCATATTAACTACTTGAGAGATTTTGTGACAAAGAGAGTATTCAAATCACGCAACAAATTGAAGTGAGAACTACCTCGCAATGTTCTTGTTTGACAATCAGCGGTTAGCGTTAGCGGATTATACTAGCGGATTTGACCAGCGAATTTATTCAATTATTAACATTGGGTAGAAAAAATGACCGCCAGATTATTAAATCAAATGAATGATTCATATTGTTCAGGTTTTAATTTTTTTCTTTTAAGATTTTCTAATTTATCCTTAATTATATGATTATCCATTTAACTTTTCCGTTAATTCACCGTTAGTCTAATTCTAATATTAAAGTCTAATATAGAATTATAACTACACCATTAATCTAATTCTAATATTAAAGTCTTAATAGAACTTAACCACAAATCTTAATGTCGGAATCTCCTCAAACAATATTAGTATATATTTAATATTTTATGCCCTAATTTTTATTTGTTCTCCCTTATGTCCCGTATTTGGTTTCAACTATACTTATACAATTATTTTATTGACAATTATAATCAATCTTGACTATATTATCTTGCATTTGTAAACTTAGAATTACCTATTTAACTCGCACGGGCTTAGCTCAATGGTTTAGTGGGTAGTATTTGGGAGAAGAGACCAAGGTTTGAACCTCCGCGGCGGCAGTGCGGGAATTATGTCCAAAGTGGGCAGATTCCTTGTGCGTATCAGCATTTGGCCCTGTCTGCTGAACCATTAAGTCACCATGATTTACAACTTCCCACAATGCTATGTCGGGTCGGAGTCACCGTGATTTACAACTTCCCACAATGCTCTGTCGGGTCGGAGTGTGGGGGCCCTTGGGGTTGGGACTCAACCTTTGGGAGAAGAATTACCTATTTAAATACGCAAATTCAACCTTCAATTATCTATGCATGAACAATTTCAATATAATCCTGCCTTAATATACTTTAAAGTACTTATTTAACAAAAAAGCATTGGGCATTATCCCAATCGCGCAATGCGCGTAAAAAACTAGTACTTTAATAAATACCTTATTTAACGGACTTAATCAATAAGGTATTGACAAAATTAAATCAGTTATATTAACATAATTTAAGAACAAAATGTGTTTTTGTTTTGTTATTTTATTATGCTAATGATTCTGAAAAATTATATTATGAATCATGGATAAATGTTTATTTTTAATATAATAAAATTTTATTTTTAGATAATATATTAAAAATTAACCTTAAAAATATGAATACATCGTATACTAAAAATAAAAGTTAAATAAGCTTTAAAATTATTTGATAATTTTTGCACATAAATTTGTAGGATATTCGGTCCACAGTCCACTAATGGAGAGTCGTATGAGATGTGTTTTGTGGATCCTAGCTTCTTCCCACAAGCTTCCCAAAGTTCCACTTCCACATGTATCCAAGAAAGCTATTTGTCTTACTTGAGAGCTTTAGTGTGATAAGCTCGAAATAGTTACGTACACTAGTAGATAAATGCACATCTACTACTGTTTTAAAGGATTTTTTGTAATTATTATACAACAGTCGTGGATGTTAAGGTCGCGAAAAGTTCAAGACTTCTCGCGATTATTGTGAAAATAGTCGCAGAAAGATGCGTCTGAGAACAGTTGCGGATTTTTTTTCGTAACTCATTCGCGACTGTTATTCTCTAAGAACGATCGCGGATGGTATTTATTTATTTTCTTTCATAAGTCATCGGCAACCGTTCCCTAGGAACAGTCACGAATGATTATATTTTTTTTTAAAAAAATATTTTATTTATTTTAATTAAAATCCCTAATTTATTTTTAATTCGTGTACCTGTTACAACTTAAAATCCATATCAAATAGTTCAACACAATATAATTTATCTATCAACACACTATATAGTAACACAATATTGTCATCAACACAAATACTATCTAATTAACTACCACATACTATCAAATTAAACTAACACAATATTATCATCAATACACTGTTAATACAATAATATCATCAACACAATACTTTATATCAATTCAATATTTTTTACACAATAATAATTTATCAAATCAAAAACAAAAGTTACATGCACTATTCCAAGGAGTATTTTGCCCATTGCTCTCGAATTTCACTTATGTTGTTGACAGAGTACGGACTATTGCTTTCAAATGCCTACAAAATAATTTAATTAATAAAATTATTAAATATGTTAATTAATAAAATATAATTTGACTATACATAGTTACGTTCTATTTAAATTCACTTACTTTATCCAAACAATCAATAGATGAATATTTTGTCATGATATCAAACATGTATGGCATGACATAATATCCACACTCAACATCTCCTGGTCGTATCAGGCACTACAAAATACATACATACATACATACATACATACATACATACATACATACATACATACATACATACATACATACATACATACATACATACATACATACATACATACATATATATATATATATATATATATATATATATATATATATATATATATATATATATATATATAGACTTGCACTCGGATGCGAACGGCTCGCCCAGGCGCGAAATAAGAATGGATTCTGTTCGTCCACGTGTCAAGATCTAATGGATGAGAAACACTGATTTTTAAAAAAAAACGCGGTGGCATTTTCGTAAATAATTGAACATCGAAGTGCAAGTAAAATGTATTACAAGTGCATGTAAAATGTATTATAGGTGCAAGTAAAAATTTACACTGAGCATCAATACTTAGTTGCACTTATAGTTCTAAGTAGTTGCACCTATTGTTCTAAGTAGTTGCACACATAGGTATAAGTAGTTGCATCTAGGTGTATGAATGTTTGCGAGTGGTTTTCAGGAGTATTACTACCCGCTGAACTCAGATCAATGAATGTTAACAAGGCAAAATTACATGCACTTATAGGTGAAAGTAGGTGCACCTATAGTTATAAGTAGTTGCACCTATAGTGATAAATAGTTGCACATATAGTTATAAGCACACCCAGGTGCATGAATGGTTGCGGAAAGTGAATGCTAACAAGGCAAAATTACATGCACTTATAGGTGAAAATATGTGCACTTATAAGAGATTTTACTTGCACTTCGATGTTCAATTATTTACGAAAATGCCACCGCGTTTTTTTTAAGTTATTAGATCTGGACATGTGTCGCGCGCTGATTCGTTCGCATTTCCTTCCTAGGCATTTATTCGCACCTGAGTGCGTCCCTATATATATATATATATATATATATATATATATTAGTAATTTAAACAATTTATTGTAATTCAAAATATCACACTAAAACTTTAATTCAATTTTCATACATACTTTGCATTACTTCCAATTGATGTTACGTTCCTAATCCGTCCATTTATAGGAACAGAGCGAAATGCCCTATATTAATTATAAACATACATAAAAATTTATAAATAATATAATAGAAGCTAAAATACTTATATTAATAATAAGCTATTTACTTACAAATTTAGAGTAGCTTTACTTTCAATGATGCGATCACAAGACATATACCCTTATTGAGCATATGTAGATCACCAAAAGTAATCAATGAGATCTACATTTAAAAAACATACATACATATTAAAAATTTAATATCTAATACTTCAAATTAAATAAAGTTATTAAGTTATATTAGTAAAATAAAAGAACAAGTTTCTTACTTTTAATGATATGATGCTAAAATAAATTGTTTATCTTTGTTCTGCTCTATGATGTGGATGAAATATGACGTAACAACGGGAACATTCTGTTTAAGCATATACTTTGAAATCTGAGTCGGACAGACAAATCTGATTAATGTGACTTGAAATTGATTGCACAACCGATTAAGAAATCTGAAAATTAACAAATAATAAGAAATTTCAATAAATATAAAAAACAAATATATATATATATATATATATATATATATATATATATATATATATATATATAACACAAGAATAATTATAAAAAAACTTACAATATAAACAACTGTATGATTGAGACGTCAAGCCAATTCATGGTCATCAAATCCTTTATATCATCGATCATCACAGAAATAGAACGCGTGTTTGTGTGATGGAAGATTGTCTCATCTATCGCCAAATTAATGTAGTCTTTATCAAGTGGAAATGATGTCAACAAACTGACTAGGTACTTGCAATTGTCCCCCAAGTGATGTAAGACATATCAGATCACCAACAATGGGATGTCGTGTACTAGTAGCAGATAGATCACCACTTTGATCTCTTGTTTTCTTATTTTGTTTGGTGAACTCTACAAATATAAAATTGTAATTATACTAACATTTTAAATATAAACAACGAAAACTAACTTAATAACTAAATATAAGAATGCATACCTCATCCAAAATCACTAAATGCATAGCCGCATAGGCCATTGTACAAAATTGCCAACGATATCTACTACAGTGACATACGGCTTAGGGTACTCATTGGCACGGGTGGGTTTGGGAACTAGAGCACGCCAATAAAGAAAGATCTAAGCCATCTTGCATGCATGGGAATCGAACGCAACAATTCTTCCATGACCCCTATTCTCGAACGAACGACCTCCGTCCACATCACCACTTCCTCTCCTACGTTTAGGTCCAACACTCGTACTGCCCCACTGTCTATCTCCCTTGCTTCACTAGGCCATCCCTACTGTCACTTAACCCGTTCAGACGTGAACTTGACAGGGCCTCCTTATCCTCCCTCGCCCGACCATCCATCACCAACCATCACTCACCAACCTTCTTTACCCCCCAGCCTTTAGCCAAGAACCATACGGCTAAGCCTCAGGTTTCACACCCGACAACCTAGCATCCATACAAAATTTGTCTGTGTGCCCCAACCTATCACAGAAAAAACAAAACATATGCAAACGCTCATACTTTAATAAGTTATAACCCAAACCCAGGTGTTGTCCCTCTTGATCAGTTTCATTCTCCTTTTCAGTGGCTTAACCACATCAATTGTTATTCTCATATGATACAAGCTTCTCCAATGGGCCTGTAAAGTTTTTGTCATCAAGTTTCACCACTAATCCTATATAACCACCAACTTGCTCTAACACCACATATGTGTAGTAGCCCATCGGAAGATCCTGAACCTGGATCCACATGTCTATGGTGTTTAGCAAGACCTGTGTTGGGTGTTCGCCATCTCGAACCTGTTTGCATACCAATGCTAAGTTCTGAAAGAACCAAGGACCCTGCTCCATGACTCTTTGCATGTCCGTTTCGTCGAAGAAGGTAAACATAAACTAACAAGTTCGGCATGACTTCAAAAATCTGCACTCCACAGAGAAGCCGCTAAACAGACACCATAACCTGCTTCATGACATCCGTTTTGATCGTTCTGTCGGTAAGAAAAGACGCCACAGACACCATAGCAGCTGCGACTGTCGCCTTCGGATCACTCGCACCAATTCAAACACCTGCCTCCCCTTCTTCCAAACGAATTCTAACACAACCATCAATCATCCGTTAGACATCCATGCTTGCCAACAGCTGGCGTCGTTGAGAAGTAGTAACGAGAAAGGTAAGAATTTACGTGGGAAAGCTATGTGGAAAAACCCTAGCTAGATACCGGGGAGGTAGAGAGAAACCCTATATTGCAGTGAGAGAATTTACCAATAATTGTTCATTTAAAAGAACTTTTGTTGGTCCCGATAGGGTGGTAAAAGTCTAGAGGGGTGGGGGGGGGGGGGGGGGGGGGTGAATAGACTTTTAAAATTTTTTTAGTGGGGGGGGGGGGGGGTGAATAGACTTTTAAAATTTTTCTAAATTAAATAACTCTTTGGTAACTTCAACTCTAAGTAACAAGTAAATAGAGTAGTATTGAACTTGAACTGCACAGCGGAATAAATAAGTATAAAGAGTTATGCCCAATCAATGAATTTAATCACATGCACATATAAGATAAGCTCAAGATGATATGAATATCTTAAATATTTAAAGGAGATGATGCACTCAATATTTAATTTAATAATAATATTCAAGATTATAAACAATATTTCGTGTCACGTCAACCGTATGATAAATGTCACATGCAACACGTCAAACTTGCTTAGAATAATTCAAATATTAAGCATGGAAAGTTTGAGTTACATGCATACGTGAAAACACACTAAACCCGAAAGATTGAGATAGACTGTGAATAGTAAACGGGTTAGTCGGATGATAAATAAATAGAGCGAATTATGTAAGTGCGGTATGTAAATGAGAGAGACAATTTATAGTGGTTCGGAAGTGGCGTAATCTTCCTAGTCCACTTTACTCCATTCACTTCTAGGAGTAATTCACTATTTTCCACACACAGTTACAATAGTGAATAAGCGCTACATAAGCACTTCTTCCGGATGTCTTGCACACAGCTACACCCAACTCCGAGTGTCTCGCGCACAGCTACACTCAACTCCGAGTATTTCGCACATAGCTATACTCAACGCCAACTAAGTGTTTTGCACACAGCTACACTCACTAGAGTATTTTGCACACAGCTATACTCTTTTTACAATTACAAATACAAAGGTAATTGTATCTCTCTCCAACTAAATTTGAGACTATTCAGACTAAGTCTCTCTTCTAGATATCTCAATGAATATTTAGCACTTGCACTTGTTCACCCGTGTGTTCTCTTGTATTTTTATATTCACCTCTTATCTCGTCTTTCTTCTTCAAGTCTTCATGGCCTTTTTATAGAAAACCAAATATATCCGTTGGAGTGGGATAATTTGATATTTGAATTTTGAATCTTCATAGCCTGATATTGTTGACAATAGTAGGTCTTCAATTTTGATTTGATTGTCAACTTGCCTGACAAGATAATATTTTATTTCAACTTGATTTTCAAGTTGTTTCTAAAATATTATTTTCTTTGTCTATTTTGAAGTTCCAACGTCTCTTTGCAATAAGTTCTTCTGGTAAAATTTATTTCTAGGATAAGGTCTTTTATCCATGCCTTCATAAATTTTCCACCGTTCTGATCATATCTTCAGGCAATTTGGATTGTTGTGACATGTGAGATGACTCATCATAAATTCTTTCGAATTTATATAATTTCTGATCATCTTGCTTGTTTGTCACATCTTGCTTTTTTTTTGAGACGCATTGTGCTTAAAAATCAGATCTTGCTTCTTTGACTTTAGCACATTGTGCTTGTTTGACTTGAGGGATTGTGCTTCTTTTTGAGACATTGTGCTTCTTTCTGAAATCCGGCTTATAAAAAATAAGTTCTTAGAAGGAATCAATCTCAGGTGTGATCATTATATATAAGAACTTCTACCATTTCACCATTAAGCTCATCCCGTTATTCTTTGTAACGCCATTGTTTAGTACTTCTGTTCCAGATGAATATTTGTAGGATCAAAATTAATTTTCCCAATTAATTTTGTTTTTCATGTGATAGATTTTTCTTTACATACTGACTTGATATTCTGAATTATGATGCTTATACTAAGACCTAAATTCTAAAGGAATTTAAAGTACATTTAGCTCATCAAAACTTTATTACAAAAATATTCCTATCAACTTTCATGAGATTTTCTTTAAATAGATTGTGGGAGACTTGGAGTTATGGCATCATGATAGGCCCAACAACTGAAATATTATAAACCATCTATCTATTCATATATTATTTCAAAGAGCCTATGAATCTAGCAATCTGACACAAAGGAGAATAAGGACCATGGCCACACGTCAACTGAGAAGAAAGCCAAAGCGTGTATAGGCGGTGGGAGAAAAGGGATAAGCTTGCGAAGTCATGCTCAACAAGAACTAGACCACCTTGCTTACCCCCATTGGCTATGGCTACTGTAGTCCATGTATAAATAGTACTCCCTCTGTGCCATTTTGCATGTCTTCCTTTCCCTTTTAGTTTGTCCCAAAATGTTGTCCTCTTTCCAAAATTGAACATCACCATCATTCTACTTTTTTCCAAATTACCCTTATGACTTTTGCTTTTATTCCCAAAAGTGAAAAAGTGAAGGGCATAATTAGAAAATACATCACATTTACTTTAATTCCTTAAAAAGCGTGCAAAAAGTAAATGAGACAACCAATTCGGGACGGAGGGAGTAGCTTTTACTCTTCTATGTGAACTTTTTTTTTTTTTTCCTTTTGACGAGTATATATCTCCATTCCTTAGGGAAAGAAGCAATTCACATTGATAATAGTGAGACTTTATCAAATTAATACTCAATTCATTCTACAATTGTAATATTTTTGACTTTTACGCCACCAAGATAATAATTAATGTGTCATTACTTCTCAATCAACATTGTTATTGGAGCTTTGGGCTTGCATTTATGCTTGCTACTAGGTACCCTGATTTTAGGATCTAACATATATAGATGTTGGAATCTAGAACTTAGATGGCGTAGGATGATAATAACTAGAAAATATAATGTGATGTCTTTCAATTCTCTAATGATCAACTATGGTGGATAGAAAAGATTAATTACCTAATGGCTAAGATCGTAGTTAGGCCTTCCATTGTTACGTTTTGGTAGTCCAGCAAAACTGCTAGGGGCGATATGATTGGGGTCTACTTAATGACATTATCTAGCTCTAGCTCTGATACTACTTGTTAGGATCAAACGCTTACTATTCACACAAAAAATTATAGCTCGTAGCGAAGGTAAAACTTTATTTTCTTATACACTATCATCACATTTTCAAAACGCTGGGTCTGGACTTGGCCTTTACCCTTTACCGGCCTCCGCCCAACAATTACATATATTTATACAAGGCATGATGCAAAATTCAAATTTTATTAGCAAAAGATTAAAATATCAATATAATTATGTGGGTATTTTCCCTTGTTGTTATTATTATGTGTCCCGTTTAACCCTACGACCTCACAAATTCTTTAAAAAAAATCACTTTATTATAATGGATCAAGTTTTTGTTTCTTTGCTCAATGAGGAGAAAGACTATAGGCCGAAATAACAAAATTTTGTCCTATTAATGAATTATTGGTGGCTATGGGACATATGTGGCTAAAGATTCTTTCAACAACCGTTAGTTGGCACAACTAGGACACTAACATTATTTTTAGTGGAGAGGCAAGACAATTCAAGTGGAAAAATAGGCAGAAAAGTATTAAAAAAAAAAAAAAAAAAAAAAAGAGTTGTGTTAGGTTGGAGACTTTTGTACTTTAATATGGGATTTGATGCATATTACTAATGTTTATTTGCCTACTTTTGTTATCCTATTATTGAATTTAAATTCTTTAAGTAATTATAAAACCCATCACCCTTTTCCTCACCTACTTTTGAACAAAAATGGGAAAGAAGAAAAATATAATAATAACTCATCACTCATTGTTCATGCATTAAATATGAAATTTTAATATATATATATATATATATATATATATATA